GGACCAACGAGGCAGTCAAGAAACCGTACATGGATCTGTCTGCAAAGCAGGAAGTAGAGTGAAACAAGAACAAAAAGAAGTTGGGAGCAATGAGGAAGCGGTCGAGGACGACTACACCAAGCTCATGGAGGCTTTGACAACTCCCGCATGGGATGGATACGCAGAGCCTGATGAGTCAGATGAAAACAGCAGCCCAAAAGACAGGCAAACAAAGAAGCACAAGGAGGAGAAGAAAGAGAAGAGTGAGAAGAAAGCGAAACAGAAGGATAAGTCAAAAAAGAGAATCAGATCGAGGAGCCGGAAGGGGAAGAAAAAGGACAGGGAGTAGAAGCTTGGATGTCAACTCGATTCCAGGCAAGGAATTGGCAGCAACAAATGCTGTAAGCACTCGCATTTGCTGTGCGCTCAAGAAAAAAATGTGTGTAGGGGATTGGGAAGGGCCACTTGGAGAACAGTAATGTTTTAGCTGATCAGTAACATCATATGTGTACATGTCAACTGAGTCTGAAAGCTTGGAACCTTCAGTATTACCAAGAACCTTGAGAGTGAACCTTGAGAGTGAACCTTGAGAGTGAACCTTGAGAGTATGTCAACTGAGTCTGAAAGCTTGGAACCTTCAGTATTGCCAAGAACCTTGAGAGTGAACTTTGAGAGTGAACCTTGAGAGTGAACCTTGGGAGTGAGAGGTGACATGTTACTTTCAAGTTTGTTCCATAGCCATATCACAGTTGCATCTCTCTCATTTTGTCTCACGGTTTCTCCTCTCAAGGTATCTCAAAGGTTTGGGTTCAAGTTCCATGTTCCAATTGTACAGTTCCATGTTCCATGTTCTCAAGATATGCAACTCCTCCTCTTCTTCTTCTTCTTCTTCTTCTTCTCTCTCTCTCTCTCAAGGTTGGAACGGGAACGTTGAAGTTTTGAACCTATTGAACACTCATGGGATTGGAGTTGAAAGGATGCTTGGAATCAGAACACATTGTTTCCGTGACCATATTGAAAGTTTGCTCAAACCTGTGCTCACATTAGACCTGGCAAGCTCCGCTGTTTTGACCATGTCGGACAAGGCTCTGCCAATGGCTTCCAACTCCCAGGGCCCACAAGAACCTGAAACCAAGCTTGGCCTAGTTCCTGTTCAAATCCAAGCGCCAGAGTTGGATGCTGAAACTGAGATCATGGGAGCACTCACCCCTGAAGACTTGTTCGCAACCCAGAACGACACCATAGAAGAGTCTCAGCTTCTCCACTCTCCAGCTCCTGGCTCTCGGTTTGATTCCCAGCCTGCTGAGTCTCAGGTTCCTGACTCTCAGGGTGATTCTCAGGGTGATGGTTTGGAGCTTGCACCCAAGGATGACACATGTCCTGGTTCTGACGACCCCATTGAAGAGTTCACTGGTTCTGACGACCCCATTGAAGAGTTCACTGAAATCGATGAAAATGATTCCCCACAAGATGAAGCAGCATCTGACCCCGAGACTGAGCCTGAGATATCAGGTTTCTTAGCTTTGGATGAGAACTTCAATGTGGAGACTCGTGGTTCCGTGAGCGACTACTCCTTTGAGCTGATGAACGTGATCCAAAACCTTTTGGGGAACCAAAGTGTGCCTGCGTCCTCGGATGGACCCTCTGTGATTGTTGCTGAGGAGGGTGGGGAGAATGATGATGAGCAGGGTGAAAGTCGTTCTTCCACTGACCCTAACCCAGGCAGTCGCAGGTCCAGGCGCATGGCACGTCATGATCGCTTGCGCAAGCTGAGGAAGAAGAAGGATGGGCAGTAGATTAGGTTTGGGAAGGCACAAAGCCTACTTTTTTGGATTAAGTCTCCATAGACATAGGAGCAATTTTGCTGACAGCAAGAACACAACTGCGAAGCGGAACGGGCACAAACACTGACTGTGTGCTGCAGCTGTTGAATGTCAAATTGAATTGTTCATGACCAAGTACTTGAACGGACTTCAAACAACTAGTGTGCATGAACATGGAAACTGCCTTCACGTGTGAGAGACCTTGAGAGTTTTTTAGTGTGAGGATGGTTGTTTCTCGCATTGGACTGTACTGTGATTCCTTGGTTGTCATTGGTTGATTCTTGGCCAGGGGTCGGAGTTTGCTAGAAAGTATGTCATACTTTATACTCGTAGTTTGATCGTAGTTTGCTCGTAGTTTGACATGGGGTCATAGTTTACTTTCACAAAACGCTGTAAATACCATGTGTTTTGCTATACTGCTGTCAAAGTACGATCAAAGTACTACCAAACTATGAGTAAACTACGAGTAGAAACTACCACCTACTTTCTACCAAACTACGATGGCGACTGTGAAAATCACACCAATGTATCAAAAAATCAAACAAAGTTTCTTTCGTTTTGACAATGTTTTGCTGATTCATGACAACAGGTGCAGCCACTGTTTTGATGAGCGATGTTGCCTACTTGAGTTGAACTTGTATTAGTGGAAGTTTATGTTTTCCTCCACTGTGGCCTTATCAGCTTGAATTTCACCTGGACCTGGGAACCAGAACTCTAGCTAGTCGAACTAAACAGCAATGCCTAGCTTGAAGCGCCCGGCTTCCGCACTCCCGCCAACGAGCATGAAACGGCCTTCGGGATCAATCAAGGATGTTGTGAGTGAGCTGCAGAATGGCATGCAGGAGGAAGATGAAAACGAGCAGGTGGAAGTCAGGGACAAGCAGAAGGCGCAAAAGTTTCACAAGATTGTTTCTTCTGGGTCACTCCCAGATCACATAGTCCACATGTACCAGGTTGAAAGCAAGAAGTCAAAGGAAGGAGCACGTGCGTACCAGACAAAGCTCATCAACCAGCTCTTCTCCAAGACCAGCGATGGAACATACCGTTTGATGACCGACAAACATGAGTTCCAGGAATATCGTCAGGTGTTCCAAAGAACAGTGGCCAAGGACACAACGGAGGCAATCCCTCGCACCTTGATGTTGGCCAAGAATTTCCATGGCAACGAAGTTTTGCTGAAAAAGGCCATTGACAACGGGGAAGTGGTTGCAAAGACTGACACTGATTCGAACATTGAGTACTTGCAGTTCCGGAAGTTGAAAAAGGAAATCGCCCGGGGCAATGAGGAGGGTGAGCGTGTGGAGGGCACCAAAAAAGTGTCAAAGGAGCAGGCCCATGCAATGGCCGATGTGATGAGCAAGCTCAAGTGGAAATTCCAGTTGACGAAGGCTTCTGCTGGGTCGGGTCAGGATCCTAAAGTTCAGTGATTGGAAAGGGTTGTTTAGCAAGTTTTTTTTTGGTGGGGATAGTGCCGCAAGACTGGGTTGGTCACTTTGTTTCATTCACATTAGGTCAGTCTTTCGGGATACAAACTGGGGCTAGGATTTGGGCATTCTTGGAAAAGATTTTGCTTGCTAGAAAAAACAACTCAAGGTTGAAAAGGTTGTCAAGGAGTTCCAAACCCAAACCAAAAGTAGTAAAGAAAGCAAAAGCCCAGGAATATGTGACCAACTGAAACCTTTATGCATCACCCGACAAACCCCCAAGACCCAGAAAGGAAAGCTCCAAAAAGAAACACCTTGATAGCCTTTGACATTCCAATATCCTTGGGTGCAAACAAACCCTCCTGGTCAAAAGTTTAAGTAAGTTTGTCACTCCTCTCAAAGTCTCTCAAGGTTCGGTTACCAGTTGGCTGTTTTTAGAATAAAAAACAAAGGAAAAAGGACATTCACAAACACATGTGTGCAACTGCAATTCAAGCTAAGGGTTGACACATGTTGCACTTCCAAAAGCCATGTTGTGCCATCCTCATGCTTCTTGTTATATTTACCTGTCCTGCATGCTCTCCCAAATCCCTCATGGTTGTAAGTTCAACTTCAAAGTGTTCCATTTCAATACGCATGTCACTCCTCTCAGGGTCTCTCAAGGTTCCGTGCCCTTTTGCTTTTCTTGAAACGAAAACCGGAAACAAAGCAAAAAGGACACACTCACAGAAACATACACAGGTTCATGTTGCACTTTCAAGATCCATGTGCTATCATCATCGTGCTTCTTATTTACCTGAGCTACATGCTCTCTCAGATCCCTCATGGTTCGAAGTTCAAGTTCAAAGTTCTCAATTCTCAATCTATATTGGCATGTCACTGCTTTGAAAGTTTCTCATGGATATACTGTTCCAAGGTCCATGTTCCGGCATTCCTTCAGGCCGATGAGAAGCTCATGAATGAGAACGGGGGCATTCCTCAAAACATCAAAAAGTTGGCAACGAAGGCCAAAGACGCTTGCGAACGTCTTCTCAAGGACGGGTCCAAACTGATTGCACAGGCAGATCTTCAGGGCTTGGTCAAGGAGGGGTACAAGACTTTGAGCACCCACATCCAGAACCTCAACAACTTTCTGATGTTTGATGAGCTCCCCTCGGATGCTTCTGTGAACAAAGCGAGCCTGGAAAACTTTATCGGCCACATTGCTCAGGATGTGGAGAAATTTAACGGTGAGATTCAGGCGGCCAAGGCTCGTGCCAAGGCCAAATCCTAAAGGGATTTTTGTCCTGACCCAGTTTGGATAGTTTTGAGGCTTGTGTTGCCAACTTTGAACCAAACTGAGTGTAGCATAGTTTTCCGAATGCAGAGGCCCGCACATTTTGGTGTGACAGTGACCGATCCAGCAAGCAACATGAAGTTAACAGCTGAAAAAAACAATAGCGGATGCTGGTTGTTTCACACATATGCTAGTGTTTTTGGTCACGCACAATTTTCGTTGCAAAGAACTTTCAGGATTTACAACCCCAAGAATCTGTGAGTGAGGTTGAAAGGCTGCCTACAATAGCTATGGATGCTGCTATTCATTAAATAGTTTCTGTGTTCTGTTCTTGACACTTGCCCTGTTGAACAGAGAACCATTGTCGAGGTGAGAGATCTTGAGAGATCAACATGAAACCTTGAGAGACTTTGAGAGATCAACGTGAAACCATGAGTGACCTTGAGAGATTTTGAGAAACTTTCCACAGGACATGAAAGAGCTTGTCAAAACAAAAACATTGTGCCAAGTAACATGTTTTCTCAAAGAGTTGTTTGATTGGGGATTACAAGTGAGATAGCAACATGTTCCATCCAGTGCCCAACTGGGTCAAAGAAGGTTGCATTCACATCGCTGAGAATGGGGTACCCAAAATGTGGGGTTTCTGGAATCCTGCGCTGGTTTCTCATGAATCACTGCAGCTGAGCGGCCGATCACTTGAGGCAGCTCTATGTGCCACTTGTGCTCCACAGAAAGTTTGAACACATACGAATTTGCAAAAAAGAAAATGAACTTTTCCTTCAGGGACATATTGTTCAAGCATAGATCTTCAATGCAATTGAGTCTGCATGCTTGTTTATATCCCATTTTGTTAGTTTATTCATGTGTTGGAATGCACATAAATAGATCTATGTTTATACACATGTGCAGTAAATAGATCCATATGTATATAGATGTATGCGTCCACTGGCATGAGTTTGCACTCCCTCCTGTCCTCTCTCAAGGTAACACAAGTTCTTCAGTTGATGATTGCCTTGGAGAAAACTTGAATCCCAAAAATAGATGCCATCATTGCTTATGATCTCATACAAAAGGATGTCACTCTTGTTACAATTTGAATTCAAATTGACTGTGTGCAGTTTGTTCATGCAATGGAGCGTCCCCGAAAAAGGCGTCGTGGTGGGGGATTGCAACAAAGGCTCTACAACCGAAGAGGAGAACCCGAAACTGATGGTACTATGGGTGAAACTTCTTCCCTGTGCATGCTATTGTTGAATCTCTTCGCATGGGGGTTCTTCTCACCTCAAAGGGTCCAGCAAATTGCCGAGATGGCAGTCAGGGATATAGAAAGAGCACAAGAAGATCCACTCGTTCTGGCAGATCTGAAAATGCTGGCCGGTCTGGGAACGAAAGGCATGCATGCAAACAACATACATTCTGAATTGATGGCAAAAATTGAACATGTACCCAAGATCCCAAAGCCCTTCAAGGCCAATGTGCCATTGAAAGGGTTCCCAAATTCAATCCAATCTGTGCTTTTACCCCATGAAATGTTTGCATGCATTTGGGAAAGTTACAAGAACGTGTGGAACACAGCGATCGTCCCAAGTGCTGACCGTGTGCGAAAGTTCTGGCGGTCAATGCAGCTTCACCCCCAACTTCGTGAACACCCAATGACTTCTACTCCCGACTGGTTTTCGCACACGGTGCCACTCGCAGTGCATGGTGATGGAGTCCCTATCACAGGCATAGGGAAGGTTTGGAGCAGAGTCATGACAAACTACAGCTGGTACAGTCTAGTTGGCCATGGAAACACTTCGTCCATGTTGATGTGGATTTGGGGGTTCTTTGACAAACTGAAGGTTGGCGACCAAACCACGGGGACTTTGTTTGAATTCTATACTGTACTCAAATGGTCATTTTTAGCATTAGCTGAAGGGAAGTGGCCATCAACAAATCACCGCGGTGAGGCGCAACTTGGCTCTGAACTATAATGACCCTACTATTGTTTTTGAATATGAACCCCTTTCTTTTTGAAATCTGATATTCCTGAGCTTCAACACAGAAAACACGTTTTCAAGAACCAACTCTAAAGAAACATAATGCCAACCAACTTGTAGGTACACACCAGGCTCATTGGAAGCCCGACGCAGTGGCAAATGGTTGGCTGGGGGTTGGAAAGCTATTTTGTGGGCATTGACGGGTGACCTGGACTATTTTAACGCAATGTTGGGGACACCTACTTATTCTTTGCAACGTGGCCCCTGTATGCACTGCAGATGCACAGGGACAGG